TGTACTAAAATCTCGTTCCTCCCTTTTGCAATAACGGTCGCATCTCAAAATGCGATCCATTCTACCATCCTGTTGAGATTTATGAGTTGCTACTACTAAACAAAAGCCAGATCTAATTGCAACCTGTTTTCCCCAATCAATCGCTTGTTGAGCATCTTCGAAGGGACCATCATGTACATAAATCCCACTATAATCATTTTCGTGTCCACCATAATCCTGCAACAATGACATATTATTTTTAAATACATATAATTATATAAAGATTAAATTAATACATTTAACACAAAATTAACACATAAGTAATTTCTAAATTTTTTATTTGTAAATTTAATTTCTATATTTATAGCATAATACATTTAATTTCTAAATTTACACATAATTAACACATAATTATGTATAAAAGTATTCATACAAAATTAAATCATAATTATTTGTTTTTTTAGGAATTATTAACACATATTTAATTTCAAATTAGTATCAAAGTTAAAAAACCGAAAAAAACAAAAACTTTAAATAAAATTAAAAAATAATAATTACGAACCGTGGCGGTGGCGTTTGACCGGGACACCGCCACCGTGGTTGTGGCGCCTGGCCGGGATGCCGCCACCGTGGCTGTAGCGCTTGCGCCAGACGCCACCACCACGGTGGCAGCGGTCAGGCCATACGCCGGTCAACATTTCGTAATTTTTTACTGCAAAGTACCTCGCTTTCCGGCAACGATGAAGGCTTTCCGGTATCCCTCGGCGATCCAGTCCTGCTCCACATTTTTTGTGAGAGAGAATTACGTTTTGGGTAAAAATTAGAAAAAGGGAAAAAGCGTTAAAGTAAAAATAATTGTGGGCTTTATGTAGAGATTTGTGGGCGATGTTTAACAAATTCCGTCGTCTATGTGGCGCGACACTTGAGGAAAAGTTAAAACATCAAGTGTCGTTGTCTCGTGGCCTAACTAAATATTTAGCTTGATATATATATGTATATATATATATATGTATGTATATATATATATATATGTGTGTGTGTATATATATATATATATATATATATATATATATATATATATATATATATATATATATATATATATATATATATATATATATATATATATATATATGTAGAAATGGGATCATGTGAGAACACATCCCTTATGTGAGAACCCCAACTTATGTGAGAACAAATCTAGACCTTTGAATTAAGGTCATCTGACGGCTCTTATTCAATCCGCCTCATTAAGGGTAAATGTGTAATTTCACAGCTTGAATGACTACCCCCAATCTTCTCAAATTTTCATTTTCACTTTCTCTCTCTTCATTACATTTTCTCTCTCCTCGTTCATATTCTTTCTCTTCCTGCGAATTCATTTTTGGTACTACATCGATCTTGCTTCTTCGCTCTTCATACACTTGATTCTGGACAATTAAGGTATTTGAGTTTTCTTTCTTTAATTATTGTTTTTTTTATTTTGTTGTAATTAGGGTTTTTTCTTTGTTTTTGGAAGACTTACAATCTGCGATTTGTAGTTCGCTTTTTGTTTTTTTGATCAATTATGGTTTCATTAATTATTGTTTGTGATTTTGTTTTATTTCAAATGATTTTTTTCTTGAATTGCTTTTTCCTCTTTTTTTTTTTAAATCACGAATTTCAATTTCACTAGTTTATCGTTAAATGCTTTTGTTAATTTAGGGTTCTTTATAGTGTAATTCTAATTTTTATCTATAATTTATGAGGTTATGAATGGTTATAGAGATTGATTTTGTCAATTTTGGTACTTGCATTTCACTAATTTGTGCTTAAATTTTGATGCACACTAACTGTTTGACAATATTCTTCAATGAATCCTATTATTTTATCAATTTCAAATGTAGTACATATTTAATTGATGATCTTCTTATTTAGCGAAGATCAGTAGAATTATAATGAATCATGTACTTAATAATGTAGTCATAAAGGTAATTTGTGTGAATTGAAGTCTTTCATATTGTTTTTATCATCTTTTAACCATAATTTTAATCATATGAAAGTAGATAAAAATATGATAAAAGTAAATCAATCAGACTCTTAAGTATCTTTCATACTTGTAAAATTTTAGACTTGCAAGGGTTTGATAGTTAAATTAAACCATACCATAATAATTGGCTTTAGCTTGAGTATTAATAACCTTTACTTGTACAATTTAGCTTGAGGGTATATATAGCTTTAGGTCTTCACAATTTAGTGTGGGCGCAAGTTCGTTGTACATAATAAGCCTCTAACTGAAGCACTGAATATAAGTGAGAGATAAAACTAGTAGTATTGTTTAATGAAGTTACTGATGGTAATGCTGCTGCTGCTGATGTAGCTTCTAAGGAGCAACAACAATTGTAAAAGTAGAGTTGCTGAAATGGTTAATAGTGAATAGGAAAGAAGGTGAAGTTGATTTCGATATTCAGAGGATGAGACTGTTAATAGGCATAATAATAATAATAAGAATAAAAATTATTTCGACATTCAGAGGATGAGACTGTTAATATTCTATGAAGTATCCTCATGCCAGCAACAATTTGTGGGCTTGCATACTCTTGTTTGGCACCACCTTGGGCCTTTGGCACATGATTTCCATTAATACTGCTCCTACAAATTGGGGCTAGACAACATATGCTTAATGAGGGCAGATGACATTCCCTTTCTTTCTAATGTGGAGGATCATACTTAATAATAAAAACTTGTCTCACTGCCAGTGTACAAAGAGGCATGCTTGAGGTGCTAAGGCACTAAACACATTACAGATTATAATGGTTGTAATTTTACCATAGTTAGACCTTTTATACATTGAGAGAAGATCAGTGGGAGAAAATTTATAGAGACTATATGTAGTGGTTTTATTAATTTTTCTTTACATTTTGGTAGAGACAAGCCTCTAAAAAAAACGTCTTCTATCCTGTATCTTTTGTAATTTCTATATTCTAGGAATTAGAGGTTCTCTCCTCTCCCCCCCCCCCCACACACGCACATCCACTTACCCCACAACCCCTTTTACCACCTTTTATTCCTATGTATGTGTATTATCTTGTAGATATGTCTTTTCACTAATGTTAATGCTTGAATAAAAGATGAATATAAGAAAATAGAAAAGAAGACATGGACGGAATGGTACAGGGTTTTCTTTAAAGTAATTAGGAGTATAGGGAGGATGATATTGATCTCAAGTAGTCCTGTCCCTGAAGTAGGCATATATCATGCACCATGGAGTTTTCAATTTCAGGTTTTCAAACACCAAACCGGCCTTATATTAGTATCCTTTTCAATCCTCGTCTAAATTTTCTTATGAAGTCTTCTCTATGTTTGTATATGGCTTTCAATTTTGCATTATTATGACTTTTATGAGTGCAGAGTGCTATTTGTGATATCTTAAATTTTGATGTAACAAATTCTGTTGTACTGTATCTAGTTTTTGGACATTATCATAATCAATTTCAGTTATTTGATTATTTGACAAATGAGCAAACTAATGGTTGCTCATTTCACAAATGAGCAAAGAAATGCTTGTTGATTAAAGAAATGTTTCCTTATTTGACAAATGAGCAACTAAGTTTTTGCTCATTTGTTAAATTAGCAACTAAGTATTTGCTCATATGACAAATGAGCAACTAACTATTTGCTCATTTGCTAAATGAGCAAAAAATTGATTGCTCATTTCCCGAATTAAATGATCAAAAAAATGTTTGCTTATTTTACAAATGAGTAACTAATTATATGATTATTTGACGAATGAGCAAACTAATGGTTGCTCATTTTACAAAAATTTACAGGTTATAGATTTGCAAAACAATTCTTTGCTCATTTGTCAAACGAGCAATCACTTTTTGCTCATTTGTCAAATGAGCAAAAAATGAGCAAATTAATTGCTCATTTGACAAATGAGCAAAAAAATCAATGCTCCTTTGTCAAATGAGCAAACTATTTAATACTCATTTGTCAAATGAGCAAATGATTCTTGCTCATTTTGTCAAATTAATGCTCATTTGTGAGTGTGTTTGAATGTTTTAAATACGTGAGCCTACTAGCTCAAGGGTAGAGCATTGTGCAAATGCACAAAAGATGTGGGTTCGAATCCCACGTAGGTTCATTTATATAATGTGGAGACACAAGTTTGTATGAGAGTATAATTGTAACAAAGTTTATATAGTTATAAATCATTTCAAACCATATTTTTTCTCATATAATTTAGTATGAATTTGATTTTTTTTTAATTAATTTTGTTTATAGAGAAAACCTATGTAGGAATTGAACCTACATCCTCTATGAATTTGCATACTGCTCTACCATTTCAGCTAATAGGTTTATCATATGTTTTAAATCATTTTTTATGTTATAAATTTTTAATCAGCTCATTTGATAAATCAACATAGAATTGTTTGCTCATTTGATAAAATGAACAAAGAATTATTTTCTCATTTGACAAATGTGCAACTATCCATATGATATCCATAAGACTATGATGCCAAATTAGCATAGGCCATATACATACTCCAACTAGACATTAACTGAATGAGAGCTAGGAAAATTAAAACCAACTAGGTGTTTGTTCTTGTAGTTGTAACTGGTGTTTGCCCATTAGCTGGAATTTTGGCAGCCATAAAGCGCAACTCGTTGGCGATTTCTGTGAAGTTCGGCCTCTGTAGTAGGTCTATAGCCCAGCATCACTCCATCAGTGATCTCCACTCCGGGTCACAATTTACAGGAACAGGTGGTCTCAAGGTGTTGCTCATTTGATAAATGAGCAAAGAATTGTTTGCTCATTTGATAAATGAGCAAAGAATTGTTTGCTCATTTGAAAAATGAGCAAAGAATTGTTGCTCATTTATCAAATGAGCAAAGAGTTGTTGCTCATTTGATAAATGAGCAAAGAATTGTTGCTCATTTGATAAAAGAGCAAGAAATTGTTTGCTCATTTGATAAATGAGCAAAAAATTGTTGCTCATTTGATACATGAACAAAGAATCGTTGCTCATCACATATTATCAAAACAAGCAGTGAAGTACCTGTGAGTTTTGGACAAGAACATATTATCAAAGAAAAACTTTCACATTGATTTCAGAACAAAATTAAGCAAAAGCCTCCTCCAATACAAGATAGATATGCCAGCTGGAAGTACCTGTGAGTTTTGGACAAGAACATCAATTACAGCAAGATACGGAGCTACAGTCAGGGTCTTATTAATGAAGTGAACACGATTCTGAATCTTTTTCTCTGTAACAAAGCTGCGGAGCTCTGTTTCAAATTTAGTTTGTGCACTTATATTACTTCCTACTACTACTGCGTGAACAGGAGGCACCTGCAACTTCTTTTCTTTAATAATCTGCAAGCTTTCCTAGAATGCATGCAGAAATAGATCCTGACCTTTTCCCGAGATACACCTGCAGGCACGGAAAGGGCACTGTTCGTAAACCAATTTACCTTAGATAACAGTCCCGTTGAACAAAAAGAAGCATACACTCTTTCCTAAATCAAGACAACACTTAAGCACTTCAAGAGAGCTCCTAGCCTTTTATATTTACTTTCATTCTAAACGTCTCAACAGTTGCTATTATATAGCTAGTTCATATAGATAATAGAAGAGCAGGAAAAAGAAAAAGAGGGAAATCTAGTCACATATTATCAAAGAACTGTTTGCTCATTCGATAAAAGAGTAAGAAATTGTTTGCTCATTTGATAAATAAGCAAAGAATTGTTGCTCATTTGATACATGAGCAAAGAATAGTTGCTCATCACATATTATCAAAACAAGCAGCGAAAGAAACTTATACATCACATATTATCAAACCAACTTCTGTTTTTAGCACTCATTTTACATGGCAAACATCTAATTCTACCAACTACATTCTCCTTAAGCCGAGTAATCATTTGATCAGCATTAATAGTTCATTATTTAATTCCATGTGATATCATTCCTCAAACGACAAATGCAATATTGGGCTTCAGCTAGACAACTAAAGCCGCAAAGACTGTTTCTAAACTTTAGTCAAATTCTGGGTTCTTTGAATATATCTCAGAATGCTACAATACCTCCCAATAAGAGCAGAGTTATTAAGCCAATTATAAATCTGCTTCAAAAAAGGCATTGCTAACGAAAAACACACCTATCATCATCACACATAACCAATTTCTACAATCTGACCCGACTCTTGAGTCTCATACACATTGCTAACCAAAAACATAATCTGTGCTTAGGCACTGATAATCTATTCCACACAAACTGAGCCCAGTTTCCTCAATTCAACCCTTCAAACAACCTGAATCAGCCACCTCCATCTCACACGAACCAACATATCATACAACAATACATATAAATTTAGAACATAAGCATAAATATTAATTCAAAGCATGTCAAGCAAACAACAAATATTAATTCGAATAGATACAACACAACGAGACTAGTATACAAAATATTAGTCGAAAATCTCCAAAAAATCATCAAAATCTTTGAAAATATTGGAGTATAAGTTACCGTTGCATTTCAGATGAAATTTTTTCACGAATTAATAGTTCTTCACCAACCTCCATTCAAAATTTTCTTCAATTTTTCTCTTCCGCCAAATTAGGGTTCGTATTTGCAAAAATTGTAATTAAATTGCCCAATTCAACTTATTTTATATAAGTTTATGTATAAAATTCGTTGAATTTGAGCAAAAATCAAAAGGAATCGATGTGATTTGCTTTGATTTGGAGCAGTTACAATGGATTTTAGAGAAAATTTGGTGATTTTAAGAGAGAAGATGAAGGAAAGTGTGAAACGTGTTTGATGAGAGAGAATCAAATATTTTGGGTAAAATATGAAGTTGGGAAGCTTCATTATTTACACTAATGCCATTACTTGTTCTCCGTTGATCTTAACCGTCTACTTTAATCTAATCCTACGGCTTAGATTTGTTCTCATATATTAGGAGTGTTCTCACATAAAGGGTGGTTCTCACCGGATCCCGACCCTATATATATATATATATGTATATATATATATATATATATATATATATATATATATGTATATATATATATATATATATATATATGTATATATATATATATATATATGTATATATATATATATATATATGTATATATATATATGTATATATATATATATGTATATGTATATATATATGTATATGTATATATATATATGTATATGTATATACATATATATATATACATATATATATACATATATATATATATATATATATATATCATTCCTTAAAGTATAAACTAATAGAGGAATGATATTCGACAAGCTGTCTTTTCTCTTTATTTGTTCACAAATCGAAAATTTTGGATCTAATTCTGATAGTATAGGGATTACCATATATAACATAAAATTTCTCCGCCAATTTGTTCTAGTCGAGCCTCTCAATCCGTCATTATACCTCTAGAGGTAGAAAGAATTGCAATCCCCATTCCACCTAAAATTCTAGGAATTTGTTGATAGTTTGAATAGATTCGTAGACCAGGTCGACTGATCCTCTTTAAATGGAAAAGTATTTTTATAAGGCGTTTTCTTATTTCGTCTATGTCGCAGAGTTAAAACCAAAAAGTAGTTGTTTCTTTCTTGATGTTTTCTCGCATTTTCGATAAAGTCTTCTCGTAAAAGTATTTTAACAATGTTTTCGGTGATTCCAATAGATACTATTCGAACCGTTCCTTTTCTATTCATGTCTGCATTTCGTATAGAGGTTATTATATCAGTATTAGTGTCCCTACTAATGATGAACTAAAATAAGTGGTTCCTCAAAAATTTGATATAATCAACATGCCTTTTTTTAGTTTAGTATTAAATTTTTAATTATAAAAAATTTCAAAATGAAAGATATATACATGATACACAATCTCCTATTTTTTTTTTCCAGTCAAATACCCTACTTCTCATCTTAGAATACCTCAGGAGCTAATGAAACTATTTTAGTAAAGTTTTATCTCAATTCCCTAGCAATTGCACCAAAAACTCTAGTTCCTTTTGGATTTCCTTCTTAATCAATGATAACCGCGGCATTGTCATCATATCGTATTATCATACCGTTGGCGCGTTTAAGTTCTTTATAGGTACGTACAATTACAGCTCTGATCACTTCTGATCTTTCTAAGGGTGTGTTGGGTATTGCTTCTTTATTCGCAGCAACAATAATGTCACCAATACGAGCATATCGGCGGTTGTTAGCTCCTATGATTCGAATACACATCAATTCTCGAGCCCCGCTGTTGTCTACTACATTCAAATGGGCCTGAGGTTGAATCATTTTTTGTTTTTTATTTGTTCTTTCAATGTAAAAATAAAAGAAAAATAAATATTGTTTGTCAAAAAAAAAATTCTATTTATTTTTATCCAAAAGATCCATTTCCTTTAGTTCCACATTCTTATCCTGAAATAATGAATTGAGTTCGTATAGGCATTTTCGATGCCACTATTGCGATAGCCCGGCGGGCTATATTTTCAGCTACTCCACTTATTTCATAAAGTATTCGACCTGGTTTGACAACAGCTACCCAATATCGGGCGATCCTTTACCGGAACCCATTTGGGTTTCCGCAGGTCTTACTGTAACAGGTTTGTCGGGAAATATACGTACCCATATTTTTCCACCGCGACGTGCATTTTGTGTCATTGCTCGTCGCCCTGCTTCTATTTGTCTAGACGTGATCCAAGCGGGTTCAAGTGCCTAAAGAGCATATCTTCCGAAACAAATACGATTCCCCCGACAAGATATTCCCTTCATTCTTCCTCTATGTTGTTTATAGAACTTAGTTCTTTTGGGGTTATAGTTGATGGTGAGATTTTCAACAAATAGAGGAATGATATTAGACAAGCTGTCTTATATTAAAAGAAGGTGAAAGACTTGTTAATAAACTGTTTGGATTCGGGTCGGAGCCGGAGTTGGCGGAAGTTATCGGATTCGGAGTCGAAGCTCAGCTACTCGGAGTCGAATGCAGAGTTAGAGTCGGCTTTTAGGTCCAATTAAGTGGCGGGTCAGAGTCGGATCCTACGTAGTCCAACCTGAGTCCGATCATTGCCATTCCTATTGGTCACTAGTGTACCCATATGACGTAGGAAAAACTAGGTCGTTGACTAATCCTCCCTAAGGTCAAACAAATTTATAATCACTTAAACAACCTAAATACAAGTATAAAGGTAAGTCAAGGGTCGAACCACTAGGAACAGTTATGATCAAGTGCTTTCAATTAACGCCTAAGCTAGGTCGAAATCCAAGGGTGAAGAGGTAATATTATTCAACTACCAATACAAAGAATCAGACAAATGAAATACTAATTGGGAATGGGGATCAACAAGTAATCATGACAATTGCAACAACTTGGGAAGGTCAAGTCAATCAATGGTTGTGAAGACTAATTATAAGAGCTATCAATTGGAATCAAAGAGCTATTACCTAATCATCAAGCTAGGTTTCCTCTATGAATGATAAACTAAGAGAATCACAATCCAAACTAATCAACAATTGCAAATCCTAAATTAAGTGGTCATGTCATTAGGATCTACACTGCAATCTAGCATAGTTCTCAAGGCCTAATCAAACTAAGCACATGCAAACTTACATTAATCACTTTAATCTCAACAATCAATCAACATAATTTCCAAATTAATCACAATGAATCAATCATACAAGTTTTTCCCAAACCGTAGCAAGCAACTACTTACTACAATCCATCATCAAATCAAAGAAGCAAGTAAATGAAATCAAGAATCAACAAAAATTGAAGAACAACTACACTAATCAAGAATCAATCATCAAAACCAAATCAAACAAACATGAAATTAAAGAAAGCAATAAAGAGGAGAGAGAGTAAGAAATGCTCATTGATAATTGAGAAGATCTTCAATACAATTGTCACTCTTGAATTTTAATCTCTCAAATCACCATTGAAATCTCTCACTTTCTCTCTCTAAAACTACTCCTAAGCTAGCCTAATCTAGAGAGAGAAGCTCTCAACCTAAGCTAAAATATGAGAGAGAAATTCTAAGCTATTCTAAAGTTTTTAAGTCAAGGTTATTTATAGAAGAGAAGAAGAAACCCGAGTCTTGGCCTATGGTGCACACGCATAAGGGGGTATGCGCGCGCGCACCACAGGGTACGTCCTCCTCAAAGGCACGCGCAGTACGAACAATGAGCACAAAATAAGACTGCCGTGGCACGGCGCTTCTTGCCGTGGCATAGCGCTCCTGTCGTGGCGCGGCGGATACCTAGCAACATAGAAGCTCCCTTTAGCACACCTTTGATCCTTGCGCGTACCAGAAGCACTCCCCGCATCAGCTGCAGCAGCACACCCTTTCCTCGGCCATTGCTTAGGTTCTTGCGCGCACATGCATGCTCCCCACCGACGCTCTCACATGATGCTCACAAGGGGGGTAGCCTTTAAATCTTCATTTTTGCGAGTTCATTACCAATACATGCGATGAGAGCGTGAACGAGAGCACAAGGCCTTGAGTAGGAGTAGCTTCACAACTTGATCCTTAGGCATTCGAATGGTATGAGATCTCGTCCCAAGCATCCAAAGACTTGAAGAATCTTCTAAAATAAATCCCGAGCCCCGAACAAGACCTACAATAAAGGAAAACAAAGCGAGTAGAGTAGGAAAGACGAAAATATACTTAAAACGCAAGAAATCATAAAATAAGCAAAAATGAAGAAACAAATGAAAAAAACTAAGCAAATAAAGAAAGCTCTAAAAAGAAGGGAAAAACAACCTAAAACACTACCCTATGAATGCCATAAATGACACTCATCACCATATTCGCCCAAATTTTTTTTCACTGATCATTTTTTATGTTTTTATTCTATGTCATTTTTTATTTTTATTTGTATTCTATTTTGTACTTGTAAAATTATTATTAGTGACAAGTAATATGAACGTTTTTTTTATGATAAATTAGTATAGTAGGTAAGACGAAGTTAGTAATGCATTTCCCTTTTTTTAAAAATAAGCACGCGAGGCAACCCTTGGATTGACCCTTGGACTAGCCCAGATAGGCCACAAGGCCTATGGGCTTGGGCCGTGCTTGGGCCTTGCTTTTTTATACTTGAGACCATCTCAATAATGGTGATGGGATAGGCCGTGGGTCAGGCCAATGCATGCAGAAAGCCCACTAGCCTGACCCAACCCAGCCTAGCCCAGCCAAAAGCCATCTTTACTTAAAACTTATCTGAACAACTTTTGTGGCTTGAAAACTAATGCACGCAAACAGAGTCATTTTCTTGCACACAAATCGAGGCAATATTAGTAGTTTGTTTTTGCTAATTTAGTGAAAGGAATGGTATCCTTCGAACAAGTGTATTATTCCAATACAGGATTCAAAACTAATTACGGAGTTAATTATTCATTAAAGTCAAGTGATCGAAAAGTCGTGCTAGAGGCCATCTCCGATCAGTGAGATTAATTGTATTAATCTCACAGCTTTCCTTTGACTTAAGCCAACGGGTCACACCCAAGCGTGCAACTGAAATAAGGCGACGAATTAAGTCGAAGGCCTTAATACGTCAAACAAGAGGATATGTACTCCGACGTCAGATTCCAAGCTTAGAATGTCAACGTTGACACGATTCTAGGAATCGACGAGATGGGAAAATAATCAAACAACACAACGTGCTAGACTCGCTAGCCTAACACGAGGCCTTGCCGCACCACACTAGTATTTAAGGGCAAGGCCAAACCGCAGCCCAAGCCCTCGCATAGGCTTAGCATTGTAATACCCTGAAAATTTCCTCCTTTCGAAATACTTTTTCTTTACTCTAAATAAAACTCATTTTAGGAAATAACCAAAAATTACCACCACCGTGATAACGACTAAGGCTATTTTCAAAGTTACACAACGGAAGTTTAAAACTAAAAACCAACTTTTCAAAATAAAAGTTGAGTTCACAACCTCAAAAACATAGGTAAAATAAAACGTTCACAAGTTGGAACCAATATAAACATGACCCTTTAAAAATCAACTTAAAATAAAGCATAACAATGTTAGTCCATGAATAATAAATCAATAATTCAAAATATAAAACTAAGAAATCATAAAAAAAAAATAACTCTCTGCACTCATTCCCTTCATGCTTCAAGTACATGTCACATTCTCTTTATTTCAACCCCTCTACTAACCATATAAATGGGTCACAGTGGGGCCAATCCAAAGGAAAGCCAACCACAAACACAAAAGTATGAATCGGAAAAAGTTGAGTACATATGCACCACACTAACATGAATATCCTAGCATCAATAAATAAAACATGCTTGCTATACAATTCACAAGTCAACTTACCTTTGACTCATAACTAACAATATTAATTATTAAATAATAGTTTTGGATTACGCATCGAACGTGTTTCATTCCTTAAAAATAGCCCATTTAAAAATTGAGGCTCCAATTAGGGAGGTACCCCAATTGGCACCTACTATGTCACCTTGATTGTGACGGAATTCTAGCGCATTAATAATAAAAGAAAGTACAGCGTCCTGTACCCCTGTAGAAGCTATGATCAAATATAAAGTCAAATAACTCCCCCCATATGTTCAAACTCAAGTTGTATACGTTTCAAGAGTTTTGGTGCGTATCCTCTTATACTTTACGTGATTTATCAATTTAACTTGTGCTGACTCCAACCAATCAATCAAGAACAAACATAATAACAATCAACACATACTTCCATTTCATTCTTGAATTAGTTAGTGAGCACATACTATTTATTTTAATTAAGGTTTCTTGCCTAGTTTTGTGCACAAAATTGCATTATTACTACCTTGGTGCATAAGATGCACTAATAAACTTCCTTGACTCAATCTCAACTTATATGAGTGAGTAAATAAATAAACTAACATCTTGAATCAACTTCAATAATAAATGGGTGAGGAATAAAATCATGAATTATGCTCAATAATTGTAACTTTAGCTCTTTTAAACATACATAAATCTTGCTTATTAAATTCATGCTTTCTTGACACTTGAAAATAAAACATACTTCCATAATTCATACATATTCAACTTGTATCATGCTTCAAATAACATGTTCACATGCTTGCATAATAATTCATGATCAACCAACATCAAATCCAAGCATATAATCAATCAAACATGCTACTAATTCATTACTTAAAACATACTTTACAATCCTAGCATGATACTACGCATACACAAATATTCGATTTTATGCGCATACGTACCTTTAATAGTGCCTAAACTCGGCTACACTCGCTAGAAATCACTTAGCTCAAAGCTTCCTATAAATAAAAATACATAACTATAATTAATCCACTATTCGCACAAATTTCCAGCAACTATAATATACCTTAAACCTCACTAATCAACCTAATTTAATGGTTTAAAAGCCTTAAAATCTTTTCTTTAAGTGGGTACTTTAAATCCTTTCGAAAAGACTTAGTTTTCATGACTTAAATAAAATTCCAACATACTTATTTAACATAAAACATCACTAATAGACTAGGAAATCATATTTAAATCATCAAGAACCTTTTTCCTTTTATGGGTAATCAAACCCTAACATAATAGTTAAAAAGTAGTGTGTATACTTAAATTCCGGCCTAATTGAGGGCTTAAAACTCATTAAAAATATGTTCTAATCATTAATTTAACAACCACAACAACCTAAGATCAAACCCTAATCATAAACATTAAATTTCCAAATTCTAGGATTTGTAAATTAGGGATTTTTGATTAAATTAAAATCTGAAAATTATAGGAATAAATTAACAACATCAACTACCCAAAATCAACATCAAAATATAATCAAAATCATGCTTTGAATTAATTACACCAACTTAGAAATTAAATTAGGAGAAAAGTGTTTTTTTTTTTCTTCTTTAATACCAAAACCGAAAAGAGGAGAGAGAAGAGAAGGGACATCCGGCTGCCGGTGGTGCGCCGGTGCTGCTGCTGGCCGCCGGTGGTCGCTGGTTTCTCATCGGTGGTGGTGGTGGCGCCAATGGTCGCCGATTGTGAGGGAAAGAGAAGAGAGACATGCGTGGGAAAGAGATGAGAAAAAGGGAGGAAAAAGGAGAGAGAAAATAAGAGGAAACTTTTGGGATTTTGTAAAATCTGACAATTTGATTCTTGAATGTGAAATTTTTTTGGGTTTTGGGGTATTTATATCCCCTTTTTAAGAACAAAAACACTTATATACAAAAATGTCATTACTAATCCTACTCCTCCTGAATTCTCCTTTGAGGCCAACTTGTTGGGCTCTGAAGAACTCTTTGATTCCCAACAAGTTGATCCAACAATTTAATTGATGTTGACCCAATTTAAAATATTTTATCGCCCCAATTAATAACTCATATTATTTTATACACACTTATTTTATATTTAAATAATTACTTCTCTTAAAATGAAATAAATCATTTTAGTTTATAAATAAAATAAATAATTATATATATATATATGTGTGTGTGTGTGTTTGTATGTATATATATATATGTGTGTGTGTGTGTGTGTAATATATATATATATATATATATATATATATATATATATATATATATATATATATATATACACATATACATACATAATATTATAAAAATATTGAGTATTACTGTCTACCCCCTTAAAAAAGTTTCTTCCTCGAAATTTGAGCACGAAAATAATAAAACTTTGTTCAAAACTTGCTTAAAATTGCACTTTTTCACCTACTTAGTAAAAATTTTCCTTGATACTTATAGTTGTTGTACTTTTTGTAACCTTTCTTGTTCTCTTTCTTTCTAAACTTTGTATATAATTGTGCAAAATATACTAAAAATGCACAAAAATGCTTGAAATGAAGGTAAAAAGCGCGAAATTCTACCGCATTCTACCCCCCTTAAAGAAAACGAGTTATGACCCCGTAACTCAACTAACCTCAAACAACTCTAGGTACTTCTTTCTCATTTCATCCTCAACTTCCTATGTCGCTTCCGCATTTTCTTGATTAGACCACAAAACCTTCACTATCTTTACATCCTTTTTGCGTGTACTACGTACTTTACTATCAAGAATCTTTACAGGTCTTTCCTCTTTGGTTAGGCTATGGTCTAGCTCTATGGTTTTCGGTTGTAAAACATGCGACTTGTTTGGGATGTACATTCTCAACTGAGAAACATGAAACACATCATGTACCTTACTAATGTCCATAGGCAATGCCAATCTATAAGCAACTTTACCTATCCTTTGCAAAATCTCATATGGTCTAATGTACTTTGGACTCAATTTCCCCATCTTTCAAAATCTCATGACTCCTTGCATTGGTGATACCTTAAGTAATACCTTGTCACCAACTTCAAATTCCTCTTCCCTACGCTTCAAATATGTGTAACTCTTTTTCCTGTCTTGAGCAGCTTGAATCTTAGCTTGGATTTCTCTCACTTTCTTCGTGGTTTCTTCTATCAATTGAGGACCTAGAATTATTGTATCACTTATGTCACTCCAACATAGTGGACTTCTACACTTCCTTCCATACAAGGCCTTAAATGGTGCCATGCCAATACTTGAATGGTAACTATTGTTGTAATAGAATTCTACCAAGTCTAAGCTATCTTCTCATACTCCTTGGTAATATAAACAAATGACCTTAACATATCTTCCAAGGTTTGGATATTTCTCTCATATTGTCCATTCGTTGCAGGGTGGAATGTTGTACTCATCTTCAATGTCGTACCAAAGTTTTCCTGAACATTTTTCCAGAATTTCAAAAGAAACCTAGAATCCCTATCTGAAACGATATCCTTAGGAACTCCATCTAGTCTCATAACATTTTTGATGTAGGCCTTTGCAAGTTGTTCCATTTTCAAGTCTCCTTCATTGGTATAAACACTGCCGATTTGGTAAGTCTATCCACCATAACCTAGATGGTATCATTTCCATTCTTCGACTTAGGTAAACTAGTGACAAAATCCATCGAGATGCAATCCCACTTCCATGCTGGGATCTCGAGTGGTTGTACTGTTCCCTGTGGTCTCTTATGCTCTACCTTAACTTTCTGACAGGTTAGGCATTTGGCTACAAACTCTGCCACTTCTAACTTCATCCTAGGCCACCAATACACCTTTTTCAAATCCTTATAAATCTTATCTTCTCCTGGATGTATTGAATAGGGTGTATTTTGTCCTTCTTCCATCAATTTCTTCTTCAATTCCTCACACTTTTGTGGTACACATCACCTCCCCTTAAATAGTATACTACCATCATCATGGATTTTGAAATTAGTCGCCTTCCCTTGTTTGATCTTCTCCTTTATGCGATCCAATTTCACATCCCCTACTTGGTTATCCTTAATCTCATCATCAAATATCATTGGTTGGATACTCAAATTATTCAACATTCCTTCCAAGGCTCGCTCCATGTGGTACTACCTCGAGGTTTAACTTACTCATTTCTATACAAAGCTTATCTGACACTACCAAAGCGTTTACTCCATGAGTTGCTTTACGACTCAAAGCATCTGCGACTACGTATACTTTACCCTCATGGTATTGGATATCCAAGTCATAGTCATTGAAAAATTCTAACCACCTACGTTGTCTCATGTTCAAAGTTGATTGCTTGAAAAGATACTTCAAACTCTTATGGTCTGTGAGTATCCTACATTTCACTCCATACAAATAATGCCTCCATATTTTCAACGCAAACAATATCGCTGCAAGTTCTAGATCATGAGTAGAGTAGTTAACTTCATGTTTCTTCAATTGTCTCGATGCATAAGCAATCACCTTCCCATGTTGCATCAAAACACATCCAATTCCATTCTTAGGTGCATCACTATACACATCATAAGAACCACTCCCATCAGGCAAGGTTAACATTGGTGTTGTTGTTAAGCTCTTTTTCAAGGTTTGAAACGCTTCCTCACACTTATCACTCCATATGAACTTAGATTCCTTCTTCATCAACAAAGTCATAGGTCTAGCTATCTTTAAAAAGTCCTTCACAAATAACCTATAATATCCAGCTACGCCTAGAAAACTTCGAATATCCAACACATTCTTGGGTGTAGGACACCCCTTCACAGCTTCAATCTTTGCAGGGTCTACTTTCACTCCTTCCTTAGATATAAAATGTCCCAAAAATGCTACCTTCTCCAACCAAAACTCACACTTCGAGAATTTGGCATACAACTGGTTAATCCTTAAATTAAAGTAGCTAACACTGATCTCAAATGCTCTGCATGGTCCTCTTTATTCTTAGAATAAACCAAAATTTCATCAATAAACACTACAATGAATTGGTCTAGTAAAGGTTAAAACACTCTATTTATCAAGTCCATAAAGATTGCAAGTGTATTTGTTAACCCAAAAGGCATTACTGTAAACTCATAGTGCCCATACCTGGTCCTAAATGTCATTTTCGAAATGTCCTCTTCCGCAATTCGTAGTTAATGATATCTAGACCTCAAATCAATCTTAGAAAATACTGTTGCACCTTTCAAATGGTCAAAAAAGTCATCTATCTTAGGCAAACGGTATTTGTCTTTATGGTTACCTTGTTTAACTCTTTATAATCGATGCATAGCCTCATGCTACCATCCTTCTTCTTCACAAACAGTACATGAGCTCCCCATGGTGATGCATTGGTCTTACGTACCCCTTCTCCATCAAATCTTGTAACTGTCCTTTCAACTCACTCACCTCTACAGGTAATATACTTCATAATTCCCAACAAACCATACAGAATGGCGCCATAAAGTAAAAGTCTCAACTTTAAGCCCAAACAATCTTCATACTTATATGTCTATCAATCCTTTGATGAGATCAAGAACTCATCAGAGATTAAACCAAGAAACATCGATCTAACCACTTTGGTTAGTTAACTCAAACTTATTAGCCTTGGTGGTTGCTAAACTTCTGCTTCTTAAAGTTATTCTGGTTCCTAGATGGTCCAGAATTGGTCATAGGCTCCTTTCATTTCTCCTTAGCTTCCAACTCTACCTTTTCGGTTGGTTCTCAAAGAAATAAAGGCCTTTCTAAGATACAACTTCTCATAAATGATTTTTATGGCTAAGTTCGAAAGGACGGTAGGACATCATGTATTCAAAATACTATGTAGTTTTGATAAACATGAAGTATTGAGTTGAAATTCAACCTGTCAATAGTTGATAACCAACATATCTTTTCGCTTAATACACTATTGAGTGGGACTTATTGATGAAGTTATTCAAGTACAAATTAAAGGAAAAGATGGAACTTCGTTTTATGGCGCATTAGATGCTTAATTATGCCTAACAAAGTATAAAAGTCAAAACACTTAAAGAAGAAGTTCTTAAGTTATGAGATGATGTATGATCAAAAAAATATAGGAAAAAAGGAACAAATTTAAAGAAAAGGAATTCAAGATTCCAATTCTACCTAAGAGTTCATGTTATCGTAGTTAACTTAGTAAATCATCTTCACAAGTATTATATACTGCTTGAGTGTTCCACTTTGGAAGTAACCTCAAAATCATTGAAGTTAAGACAAGTTATTGACTTACGAGCTTGAAATGAAGCAAGTGGTGCTACATGAGCTGTAAGGTCATCTGCTTTGTTTAAAGACCTTTTAAAGCTAAGGCTGGAACAAATAAATGGTCATTGTGTTCAATAATCAGCAATCGTTTTGTTTTCACATGGAAAGACTCACATTCAAAGTAAAAGAACAATAGTTGTTGGTTTTATTTGAATGGCATGGTTGATCAAGCCATGAGTCAAGAATGCTTGATTATAAACAAACATTTCCCTAACATAAACTCACGAGATTCAAATCATGGACATGATTTGTGTTCCGACTATCTTTAGCAGTGTCACATCAATAAGAACATACTCAAGGTTCTATTAAATAGACTCTTGAAAGCTGATCGATTCCGAATCGTTCTAAGACAAGAAAGTCTTACTTGTTGAAAGCGACAAAGAAAGGAACTACTGTACTTGGTATAGACAATTTATTCCAAAAGTTAAAGAGGATTCCATTACTTCAATGTTTTCATAGGAATTTGAATGAATATATCTATATTCATTAAATCTGAAACAAACTGGATCTTAAGTAGCTAATAAGTTCAGTGAAGTGTAGAATCGACTTGGCAAGATATCAAAACGCTTAGATTAGATTGAGCGATGTTTGCTTGAGCCAAGAGTGATCATCTCAAGATTATGAGATTGAAATTTCATAACCATCTCCACAAAGAATATAGTATGTCTTCACGGAGACCTCGATGCCATTTGGAAATGACTCGAACGATGATGGATCTCATCCCTTTCTATAACGTTCTTAAAGATACGCACCAATGACTAATGTTACACTAAACAAAATTGTCAAAGCTAAGAAAAGACACCATATTTAGTTATGGATAGAAATAGTTTCTAGCCTTTGTTCAAGTATATGTCTAAGGCTCTTAGCCTCAGTGGGAGCTCATTGGCTCTGTGGGAGCTAAGTGGCTCAATAAGGGCTAAGATAGCTCAAAGGGAGCTAACTGTTTGTTTCGTAACCAACTTTTACCCAAAGACAATATACAAGTCTCTTTGTAAGCATTCAAGTGAGACTAGGGGCATTACTTCCACAACCAATATTGAGAACATAGTACTTGTTGCTCTAAGAGATGTCTTTATGGAAAGTAACACATTCCCAAAACGAAAAGTGGGAGGAAAATGAACTCGATGACCATCGAGACGAGCAACAAACTAGAACTGAGAATCTCGAAAGAATTTAGAAGGGCTTCATGAGAATGATTAATCAAGAATACTCAAAGGACTTTACAAGTGCCTAAAAGAGAATTCATTACTTACAAAACTTTAAAAGTGTTGGAGTAAGATCAAAACAATCAAAGGGATTTATAAGCGCAAGCTTAGATGCATCGTGACTTGAGAACGGTAACATGGACTTGCATCCATGTGTAATATGCGGAAATTTAAGGTAAATTTCCATGATCACAAATGATTAGGATATCATAAATCATTGTGAACCGGTTGGAGTAAAATCCAAGCAAAGCGTCATTAGAAAGTTTACTAGAGCATATGTTGAGAGCATTGTTGCCTTAGAGGCAATAAAAGTGAAGTTGTTCAATGGATAGTTCGTAGGTGAACTTTAATGATTGTAGGTTACCAAGTTGAAGGTCTCGAATCGTGAAAATGAGTGGGAGCCATCACTTGGGCAATAAATCCTAAATCATATGTAATCTATAACACACTCGGATCTTATCATCTTATTATGAAAGTGTTCTATAATGAAGATGCTAAGATTTGCAAAGTAATCATAACTAAACTTGTACGATAAGTGAACCACAACATTCACAATTGTACAAAAGAAATCAAGCATATTAGATATGGGTGTGATTTCTATAAATGTTTTGTAAAGAGTATTACTCTTGAAACATTTGGGAAAACCATTTATCATAAGATGAAACGTTGAAAAGTTTCACAGTGGAATAAATATGTATATTAACATTATTCCATGATCATTTAATTGTGGTTTAGAATTAAACAGTAAGTCCATTCGTTTTGACGGTATTCAACATAG